TTAGTATATAAAATATTTTTTCAAAATTTTAAGATTTAATAAAATTAGATCAGATATAACTGTTTTTAAATTTTAGCATTCATATTTGGCCACTAAACCTGATGGTTTAAAGGATAGATTATTGGAATTACTACAGACAATGCTTCCAATAATAATACGGTGATTAATGATATTGAACTATGGGCAATAAACCAAGATATAAATTTTTCTGATAAAAACCACTTTTGATGTTTTGCACATGTATTAAATCTTGCTGTTCAAGCTGGATTAAAACATTTAAAAGAAAAAATAAAACAAATTTGAAATATTATTCTCAAATGTCGTTCTTCACCTCAACGGCAACAAAAATTTTCTGAAATCTTAACACTTAATAATATTAATTTGACTCCTATTCTTGATGTTCCAACACGTTGGAATTTTACATATAATATGATTAGGCGGACTTTAGATTTAAAAGTGGTTTGTTTATTTATTTATATTATTATAAAAAAATTGTCTATTATAATTATATCATTTAAAAAATATTATTATTTATTTATAATTAGGTTTTTGAAAAAATTTTATTAACAAATGAATTTTCTGACTTAGAAAGTATAAAACTAAGTCAATCAGATTGGAGTTCTCTTGAAAATATTGCTGCATTTTTAAAACGATTTGCTAAATTATCTACTGAAATGTGTTCTTCTTTTTATCTAACTATAAGTGCAGTTTATCCTATGTATAATCATCTTATAGATCATTGTGAAAAAAGAATGAATAATACAGAAATTTCTAAGAAGATAGCTATGTCTGCAAAAGCTATATGGGATAAGCTTCAAGAATATTACAATAAAACATCTGATTCATTTCATTATATAGCTACTATACTTGATCCACAATGAAAACTTAAATATTTTCAATCTTAGACAAATAATAAAGACAATGAAGTTTATTTTAAAATTGCAAAAGATTTGTAAATATATATTTAAATTTAAATTTAATTTAATTTTATTTTTTTTTATAATTCGGCAATCCTGCCTCTGTTTATTTGAGATTAAGCTATTTAAGAATTATATATTTCTATATATTTCTATCTGTAGCTATTGCTAATCTAACCAAACTAGAGACTTACCCTCGGCTTACGCCCAGGTGCGACCTGCCTCAGTAGTTCTTGGCCTCCCTCCGGATCCTTAACTCACTAAGGATTTGATCCCTTCAGTTACAGACTGGTGACTACCTGCCTTGTCAGTACTGCTAATTAGATCTGTTTTAACTTTACATCTTATCCATGAGGACCAATCTGGTTTTTTACCATCCTACACTAGGTTTTTCATGTTTTTGAATGCTACTGCTCTTGCCTCTTCTTTCTTCTTATTTTTCTGACTCCCTGTTCGTACTTGATTTTCTTTATTTTCTTTGTCTTCTTTTCTCCTTTTCTTCTTTTTCTTGTTGGCCTTTTTCGTCTTCTTATCCTTCTTCGAGATTCCTTCTCTTTTTTCCCATTCTATTTGTAACTCACATCTAAAGTTCCATATATGTTGATGGAATCTCTCACCCAACTTATTAAGTGCTACACTTATTATTTTGCTAGCTGCTTTTCTGCTTTGGAGCATATTCTCTACTCTTTGTTTTTGTTCTTTCTTAATTAGACCTCTAATCATGTGACTTCTCGCTTCTATCCATTCTGTGTTAGATGCGCCAAAGATATTTTCTTTAATTACCACTCTCGTTGATATTCTTTCAGCTAATTCTTCTTTCTTTATGATTTTTTCTATTTCGTCACATGTTTCTTCTTCTATTATGCCCCATATACCATGATAGTCTTCGCAGCTCGTTAGATGTTCGATTGTTTCTGGTTTTTCTTGACATGTGATGTACTTGTTGGTCTTGTATAGGTCAGGCCTTCTTGACTTGAGCTCTGTCATTGTTGACAGTACTTCATTTAAACATTTTACCCTAAATGTCTATCTATCATTCATTTTGCTATCTAAACAATTGTTACCTTTTACTCCTTCTATATATTTCCAGGTTTTTCTCCAATCTAAACTATCCTCTTTTTCCCCTCCTACCCATCTTTTCATTCTATTTAATCCTGCCCATTCTGCATTCAAAATCGCTATTGTGATCCAATTTACAAAACTTCTGATAGGCTTATCTACTATTAACCCTTTCTACCTCGGTACAACATGTATTAGCTTAGTCCATAGTAGCCGAACTTCAATGATCTTGTTTGATCTTGCGCCTTCTTTTGCTAACTTGTCTGCCTCTTCATTCCCTTCTATTCCGCTGTGTCCTTTCACCTTGTGCAGTTTGACCTTTAATCGTTTTCTTTTTCTTATGTTCTATTTGTCCTAAAATACTTCCATTTTTCATTTTGAGATAGCTGCGTATTTTTCTTATTTCCGCCATTTTTTGAACTGCTTGAATTGCTGCTTGACTGTCTGTATATACTTTTATAGATGCTCCTTCTAGCAAGACTAACAGCACAGTCAAGATTGCACCTAGCTCTGCTCTTGTTGATGAAGGCCAGCCTTTCATAGCGCAGTTA